TAAGATGGAAGTGTTTGTGTGGCCATTAGAGCCAGTGCTTGCTGCTTAAATACTGAAAGAACTCGGGACAAAAGGCTGGTTTTATTATGGGCAAAATAAAAGGTATGAATGCATTCCCTGTTCGAGCAAAAGACAAAGAAAATAAGGCACGTTTTATTCTCATTGAGGCCTGTTTGGGTTCGACTGTGTCACAGTCCAAATCGGAGTCAATTTGTTAAAAATAAAATTGTTAAATTTTATTTAATCTGAGATGGCCCATATCTAATTTTATTTCGTCAACTGATTGGGAGAAGAAAATTAGGAATAAGGAGCAGCCTTTTATTTCATATATGTATTAATAAAAATTTAAAAAGGAGAAATATATACAGACCAAAGCAAAGAAATAAAATAAGCGTGAGCTTGTGCGTTGATAAAAAAGAGAACTCAGTAAAAATAATATGAAGCCCACTAGCAGAGGGAATTAAGAAACAACAGATGATTCTTCTTCAGGTAGCAAAAACACTTATAATATAGAAATTATTGAATAATAATTGTGATCCCTCCATTGCTGTCCTTTTGTTCTTTTGTCATTTTGCAATCATTTTTCCCCTGTGGTCCATTTCTTCCCCACCTACTTGCTTGCTCGATTTAATGGCATTCATGGCAAAATATCTCTCTAGCTACTTACTGGATATGACCACAGGATCAGGGCACTCATATCGACCAACCATTTTACGGATAACGGATGCATATATGGATAATTATTGATAAAAAAATGTGTAAAAATATAAAAATTTATGGTAGATGTTAGCAATTTTGAATAAGATTTTACTATATATTTGTATACATATTTAGCTACCCATAATATATTACTGAAATTTTTTGTTTGGAAAGCAATAGTTATATTAACCATTCATAAAAGAAATATCAACAGCAGTTAATCCTATCTATACAAAGCTGCAGAAGTCCCAAAAAAACATAAAAGAACCCAAACTCAAATGGCCATACAAACAAAGGAACCTTTTCAATTCCCGAAAACCAATCCTGAAGTGCAGCTATCAACACCGAATGCAAGGTGGCACTCACTAAGGGAAA